TTGGCTGTTACGTGAACGCGCTGAAGCCTCTCAGAGTGAAACGTGCAGCCGTTCATTCTCAGTGTTGCTCTCTCTTTCTCTCTCTCTCTCTCTCTCTCTCTCTCTCCTGCTCAGTGACTCAAAGAGACTCTCTCACACTGGTCCATGAGGAGTGACCCCGCAGGGATGCTCGTTCTACTGCCCAGCGAGTGACCGCACTGTTTGACTGAGCGTTTAGTGAGAAGCGGCTTTGGGGCACCTACGCTGGACTGCAGGCGGGACTCAGACATGCTGGCTGCCGCTTTAACCCTCATACTCGGAGTGGTGAGTGCAGAAAACACTTTTAGCTGCTAGTTGAGCTGAGACTCTCATTACTGACCACTCCAGGGAAGGGGTGCGTTTACTTTTGGCCAACTTCAGAGTGACACCGTGTGGGATTTTGAATGTGTTGAGAAGAATTTTGACTTGTTGAAGTCAGTGAGGGTCAGTCAGTCTGCGGTTGGTCAGTAAATTTGATGCTGGTCAACAGAGATGTACAGTATGGTGTCTCTAATATAACAGGGTTATACTCAGTTCCACTGTACTCACAGTAACCATATGGCACACAGAGAAATAATAATAATATAATAATAATAATAATAATAATAATAATAAATAGTTCTGTATATGTTTATATTTTTGTTGCACTTTCTGTTGAGTTTTTGAAAATGCTGTAAGTTGTTAAAGTTCAGACTTTATATTTAATTTGTTCAGGGGCGGAGCTGTTTGATTTGGTCAAATCTATACATTTTATCCATATTGGTCAGTAGGTCTACTATTGGTCAGTGAGTCTTGTATAATATGTAGTGTGTAAATGGGAAAAGGATTGCAATATGTACAGTCAGTAATGTGTACAGTAATATTACAGTCCGTAATTATGCTGTTGATCAGTGAGCCTGTTGGTCAGTTATTCTCCTATCAGTCACAAAGTCTGCTGATGGTCAGTAATTTTGTTGTTGGCCAGTAATTCTGCTGTTGATCAGCGATTCTGCTATCAGTCACTGAGTTTGCTGTTGGTCAGTAATTATTTTGTGGGCCAGTAATTTTGCTGTTGGTCAGTAACTCTGCTATCAGTCACCCAGTCTGCTGTTGGTCAGTAATTTTGTTGTGGGCCAGTAATTTTGTTGTTGGCCAGTAATTCTTCTATCAGTCACAGAGTCTGCTGTTGGTCAGTAACTTTGCTTTCAGTCAGTGAGTTTGTCGTTGGTCAGTAATTCTGTTGTGGGCCAGTAATTTTGCTGTTGGTCAGTAACTCTGCTATCAGTCAGTGAGTCTGTTATTGGTCAGTAATTCTTTTGTGGGCCAATAATTTTGCTGTTGATCAGTAATTCTGCTGTTGGTCAGTAACTTTGCTATAAGTCAGTGAGTGTGCTGTTGGTCAGTAATTCTGGTAGTGGTCAACAATTCTGCTATAAATCAGTGAGCGTGCTGTTGGTTATGGAGTTTATTACTGGTCAGTAATTAGTCTGTCGGCCAGTAATTCTGCTGTCAGTCAGTCGAAAATATAACTTGTTAATTGGTGTTTTGAAATTTGGTCCTTGTAATGCATATAATACTGTAAATGAGAGGAAATATTGCAATGTCCCCTATAAAAGCAGAGAGATGCAATTTGCAATATGCTAACGAGCAGCCGAATGAGGGCTGAAGTGTGATATAAGGGCCCCTAACCAACGACTGAATTTGCTCATTGTGCACTGTGACCGCACTGACCAATCACAGCTGAGTTTCTAAGGGTGTCTGACAAATTAGGAAAGTCACATAAATCATTTTGGTTAAAATGACAGCCACATCAAGGGGTCATCAGTGGGATTTTAACATATTACAAAGCAACTGGAATTAAAACATGTATAATTTATCACTGGTATTGATTTTTGTTCATAATGTGTGGCCCATAAATCTGCTGTGCTGTACATGCAGAGACACTCATGCATGAGGTCAGTAAACCCGCTCACGTTTAAAACACTTTCAGGCTGGGCTTGTTTTCTTCTGTGGCGAGTGCAGGTTGTAATGATGTACTTTCAGCTAAGTGCACTTTGATTTCATTTCGTTGGTCCTTTTGTGAGCTGGTTCACTGGAAAATGGACATTTTGGGCCATTTTTGGGTGTGATTTTGTTCCTCCCTCCGCTGTTGCTCTGTGGACATCGCTGCAGCGGCTGACCGTGGCGACGCCCTTCTCAGTTACACTGGGGGCGAGTGGACATCAAGAGTCAAAAATGGACGTTGCCGTCCGTTAGAGTGTTACAGTTTTCAGTCCAGCCCTGAGGCAGTTCAAACAGGCCAGATATCAGCTCTGTTCATCCACAGTCCACCTGGTCCAGATAACTGACCAATCAGCTCTGCATATTAGGGCCCATATAATGGAAAATATTTGATGTATTATGTTTGCTTCTCAGTCCATAAGGTCCCTATAGGGAAATTGAGCTGCTACGTCAGTTTTTGTGTTGTTTTTGTGATGTCGCAAAATTTTACAATTACGTTCACCTATTCAGCCAATAGCAGTTTAGCCCCGCCCACTCCAGATGAAGTTATAAGGAGTGTTTCAGCACAGAGCGCTCTTTTTATCAACATGTCAACGAAATAATTCAGAGTGGTTTGGTGTGAACTACTTCATTCTAGAGAAACTTACCAGGTCAGAATCGTTCACAGTGGTGGTGATAGGAACCAGACGTCCACCTCTAAAAGCCCCCTCACAGAAAGTTACTGGTTTTGAATACACAGCCTGATGCGTGAGACACTGTTTTATGGTTGTTTTGTAATAAAGTTTCGGTCTAAAATATATTTTAAACAATTTATGTTATTCCATTCATGGTGGAGGGATACATGGAGGGTGTTACAAGGGAAAGTAGTCCCAAAAGAGAGCGTATTTTTTCAAATTTTCTAATATTTTTCAGTCATTAAAATGACATATAAAAGCTCAATCTAGGTTCAGGGGTGGGTTTGCATAGTAAATAGTAAATAAAATGGCTACGTTTGCGTCATAGTTACCAGGACCCCTAGTTCCACAGTTCCACCATCACTGCAGAGAAAAGAGTCAGTAAGTTTCTCTACAAAGTAACCATTTCACATCAAACTCTAAATGACTTTGTTTATCTATCAGTCGCTGAATTATACCGAAATTTTTAAAACATTGGTGGGGTTCCCCTTTAAATCTAGTCAATAAATCTAGTATTTCCCACTTTGAGATGGTTGTGCCCTTACTATAAGATTATCTAGCCTATTTCCCGACATTTATCACTTATTTTCAGTAATTGTAAGTATGAAGTAAAAGTAAGTAAAATATTAAATAATTAGTAATTAAGTAAAGTAAATTTACTTAAGTATCAAGTAAAATGATCTCACTATACTGGCAGATAATTTAGCTGGTTTCAAGCCTATTTCTTACAACAAGCAAAATCATCTGCCCCTTTAGTGAGATAATATTACTTAATAAAATTATGTAAAACAAGTACAAAAATATCTAGAAATGTGGTAAATATTCTTAAATTAAGCTTACAACAATCTCAACAGGAGAAAGATTAGATTTAATATAACTTTAAGATTTTTACTTGACAAGATACAATTTGGGGGGCAGTCGTGGGCTGGAGGTTAGAGAACCAGCCCTGTGACCGGAAGGTCGCCGGTTTCATCCCCTGAGCTGACAGTATGTGACTGAAGTGCCCATGAGCAAGGCACCTAACCCCCAACTGCTCCCCGGGCACTGCGGATAGGGCTGACCACCGCTCTGGGCAAGTGTGCTCACTGCCCCTAGTGTGTGTTTACTAGTGTGTATGTGGTGTTTCACTGCACAGATGGGTTAAATGTGGAGGTGAAATTTCCCCGTTGTGGGACTAATAAGGGTCACTTAATCTTAGTTTTTTGCAGTGTGCAAAATGCCATTCAGGCTGGCCCTAAACCTGATATGGGCTCTTTAACCGCGGTATACTGAACACAGCTCCAGTCTCACCTACGCTGCTTTAATGGCTGTGGGCAATCAAGGCTTTGACAAAATAGGACACGCTCTCTCTCCCTCAGTCACGTTAGTGTTGTAATGAAGTTTGCAGAGTTCCCTCACGGCGCTGCTGTTACGTAACACTCTGACGAGTCACCCCTGCATAGTCTTCTGACGCTCCACCTCCAGCGTGAGAGCGTAACCTCTCCACTCACTAACAAGTGCCGACAGGTTCGTGTCAAAGAGTTAAGTGCGTTTGAGTGAAAAGTACCTCTGACAGTAGTTCCCACACATCTGTGAGTCATTTTATTGAGCTTAACCAGATCGGAAAGATCTCCTGATAGCATTAGCGGTTCTTTTCAAAGATTCGTTCAGATGATTTATTCCTTCTGAACTGGTCACTGATCCATTTATGCACTGATTCAGATCCATTGCTACTAGTTTCAGTCGAATCAGAGGTGTTCAGCAAACTGTGCTGGACACAGGAAGGGCCTGCAGCTCTAGAGGGAGGCCAAGCAATGAATTAATGAGACGATTTGATGAAAATTAGTCTTATTGACAGTGTGGATCCATAAAACTCCCAAACAAAGAGTGGAGTAATAATCTGAGTATGCTAAGTTTACCACCTCTTTCACTCAGACTTTTTTCTGTCTAGTGTGTGACTTTAGTGCCTATTCTTTGGAGTTATTTAGAATTGTAAAGTCATTTGAAGCCCAAGTACAGTTTAGAAATTCATATTCTAAGCAGCCGCTGGCAGATTTAACTCAGTTGTAGGCATGTTTTTCACTCAGTTACTGACATTGAACTCTGTCACTGGCATATTTCATTCAGTTATTTCACTCAGTTACTGACATACTTCACTCAGTTACTGACACATTTCACTCAGTTACTGACATACTTCACTCAGTTACTGACACATTTCACTCAGTTACTGACATACTTCACTAATGTACTGACATATTAAACTCTGTTACTGGCATTATTCACTCAGTCGCTGACACATTTCACTCAATTATTGGCATATTTCACTCAGTTACTGACATATTTCACTCGGTTACTGACACATTTCACTCGGTTACTGACATACTTCTCTCAGTTACTGACACATTTCAATTAGTTACTGATATGTTTCATTCAGTTACTGACATTTCACTCAGTTACTGACACATTTCACTCGGTTACTGACATACTTCACTCAGTTACTGACACATTTCACTCGGTTACTGGCATACTTCTCTCAGTTACTGACACATTTCAATTAGTTACTGATATGTTTCATTCAGTTACTGACATATTTCACTCAGTTACTGACACATTTCACTCGGTTCCTGACACATTTCACTCGGTTACTGACAT